CACTTTAATTAATATATTAGTCTGAAAATTATACTTAAATATATAATGTGGCGGTACAATGATGGTTTAACCATAAAAATGGGTATATGAGTGGTTTTCTTTGGTTTTGACTTCTAAGAGGAGAGTGTCTCTGTAAAACATCCCATATGTCGAACTGTGTTAGGTGATAGCAGCGTGTGCAGTTTTCTTTGGATGCTTCATCATTAGGAGGACGGTGGCATACTTTGATGGACCACATCCTTTTGGCTGGAGCTTCACAGGGCTCAACCACTGAAGCCATAATTCTAGGATGCTAGAAGCAGGCAATACAATTTCAAATCAAGGGGAAATGTTCAGGAAATTATATTTGTATTTAGGGATGGTGGGCTGCTGGAAAAAACATTTCCTTCTTGTAGTGCTGGATGGGTCAGAGAAAGAGTTTCTGAGCTCAACCTTAGACATAAGGTAAGAAGCTCAAACATTCAGGGGGAGCCCAGATTGGCATCTCTACTCCATCTCATCAAAAGGAGCCAGTAGATGTGGTTGAGGCATCCTGGATGAATTCCACTGGAGGTTTTCCAGGTACATCTAAATGGTAGGAGACCCCAGGGTAGGCCCTGAAAAACCTGAAGAGACATTATATCTCATCTGGCCTTGCTTAGCCTGCCAGTGCAACCCAACTCCAGATAAGTGGATGAATGGATGCCAGTTGGAACATTTGTCATTTATTACTCTTGACCCATAAAATGGGCAAAATCATGCTCGCAGCCTGACTCTGTGGATGTGTTGACCTGTTGTTCTGTCTGACAATAGTTTGTCAGCTGATCCACCAGTTTGCTCCAGTATCTCAACAAATATTGGATGTATTGCTGTTAAATTTTGCAATGATATTCATGGTCACCAGAGAATGATTGCTACTTGGGTGATCCTCTGACCATTCCTCCAGTGCCACCAGCAGATTGACGTTTTTTTGCTTGTTATTGAATAAATTTTACAACAGTTCATATTCCTATAAAACTAATGGCCTCAGCTGTACTTTGTGTTTACTGCAAATAAACAGTTAGCCACACAAAGGTGATGAACATGATAAATGTTATACCTTTATGAGCATGTTGGCATGCTGACATTAGCATACAGCTCAAAGTACTATGGCTGTAATCTGTAGCATTTCAAAAATATTCACATAAAATGAACTTGGTTGAACTTAATACCAGATGGCCACAAAACCCAAGTTGTTGCTATTCATTTAAAGGAAGTTGATATTGTGATCCTTTTTTTTTTACATTTTAATTTATTTACAAATGCATGTCATCATATATTACAGAGCTGATATATTGTAACACCCTTAATTAAATGGGTGCCAAATCAATTCAAGTTGGATCAAATATGAGATATAAATACAAGCAGTACTGAATCAGCACCATTCTGAAATGGCTCTGAAAGGGATATTTATTATTTTGAAAACCAAATAATAGTATCAGCAAAATGATTTTAGGGCTTTCACAAAAGAGCAGGAGCTTATGAGGCAAGACATTTTTCATCCTTTTTAATGCCTTATGTTGTTTAGAAGCTAAATGAAACCAGGGTAAGAGCCAGATTATCACTGGGGGAGTTAGAAAAAAGAATAAAAACTCAATTACTGTTTGCAGACTGGGGTTATTGTTAAGGACGGTGTCATGATCAAACACAATTTGGATCAAACGACAACTTTATTTCACATTTCCAATCAAGGACCGATTAGCCTCAGACATTAATGAGCCTACTAATCCATTTGGGCCCCTCGTGATAACAGTTAATTGTCTGTAAAAATGTGTACAGATCCCCGTTTGGGTTGTTTACTAACTGATTTGGATGCGGTTAGGCCCTAAAGAGGTATCATTATGTTGATAGTTCTTTGGAAAATGAGCCCCTGATGGAGGCAACACCAAAGAGGAGCAGATTTAAGAATACACAGGGCTGCTTTCAACAGTTGCTCACTTGCATGCAAATTTATCACAGCTTAAAATAATATTTGGCTGTCATAAACCCTCAATGAACGTAATTTCTATTAGCATGATTTTTTTGTTTTGCTCATTCCACTACAGTGAAGAAAGTTAACACTTTGAACATCTACCTCTGACATTTGGATAGACTATGATTCAAACTGTGAGGTCCAGGAAAACAATATGGAAATTGGACTGCCAGATGTTCCAGGCAAAAGGTTGAATTTGGCACGTCATTCTTCGTGCCCTTTGTTTGCAGCTTCGTTGAAACTTAAAACCAAATTACAGGAAAAATTCAAATCCAATTTGTGTCTTCCATAAAGTCAAAATAGGAACTGTATATTGGCTTGAGGTGTAGCAGAAAGTTCTTTTGGACAGCAGCTACTACTGTTTTGTTAAATTAAAGGAAATTGGGATTATTCGACCAAAGTTTGCTGTTCACATTCATCTGACGTTTCTCTCATTCCATGTTTCTCACAGAATGTAATGCTATAACATTTGTAGTAATATTGTCAGACATATGTTTGTCTAAACTAATAATATTCATCATCTTTTTAAACAGAAACTTAACCCTAAGTATATTCAAAACTAAGTATAAACAAAACTTTGTGCCTCTTTTTGGCACAAATGGGTCAGCGTCTTTTACAGATTCTTTAGTCATCCAGACACTCAAACATCACAGCATTTTAAGTTTTATACAAATTATGTCTGCTTACTGATGCATGTTTAATCAATATAATGTAAAGAAACCTACAGTATATATTATGAAATATAAGCTTTGAGCTATTAGTCTGGATACATTGCCAGTGAAAATACTCACAACCAGTATATGCTATCCACTCTGTTACTGTGGAGCATATGTACTTGTTTTGTCATGTTGTTTAAGGGACCAGAGGTGTGTATGTGTGTTTGCATTCTGGCCACTCAGCGTGCAACCTTGGCTGGCCTGTTCTGTGACACTCGATTTATTGTCTTGTGATTTGAGGCCTTAGTTTCTCATTACACCCAAAGTTTTTGTGTCCTTGTGCAACAAAAATTAGTTTGTGTGTCTGTGTAAATCACCTGTCATATGCACATGCTCCTTTAAGA